CACCCATGTATCCACCCATCCTTGTAACTGACCAGCCAACCAGCCTTGCAGCCTGCCCAGTGATAGACAAGGCGGGGCTTAGGGGAGTGGGAATAAAAACCACTGGGGACATGGCCCCCGCCCTCCAGGGGCACCTGTCAGTAGGAGGACATGACTGGTGACTCCTTTGACCAGAACCTGGACATGGTGTCCGTCCAGTGATGTGGGAAGCCTGGGGCGTGGTGGGCTCCCTAGGGCAGCCAGGCTCCCGGCCTTGGGGAGGAGAGGCGGCGGGGGGCGGGGCAGGCAGCGGGAGCCGCGGGCTCTGAGGTGAAGTGCAGCCAGGAGCAAGTGGGCGCTGGGCAGGGACAGGGAGCCTTCACGGGTCGGCCAAGGCTGGCCCTGCTCTGGGGACCCTAGTCTACAAGTGGAGCCCAGTTCCACCTTCAGGGTCGGCACAGGAGGAGGGGCGCCCTGCTGTGGCCAGGGGCCCTGCTCCTAGAGGAGACGCAGCCCTGCTCTGGGCAGACCAGTCAGAGTGGGGGGGGCTGCCGGGGGTGCAGCCTTTAGAGGGGTCCCCAGGGAGAGGCAGGGGACCCTCAGTCCACACACCCACCTCCCAAGCTCCTCCTGGCTCTCCCCACACCGTCCTCCTGGACCCACTCTGGGAAGTCCCTTGGGGCTCCAAGACGTGCTCTCCTTGGCCTCCTGTCCCCCGCCAGGAGTGCCATGTGGGACGTTCACCTTCCGGTGTGAGGATGGGAGCTGCGTGAAGAAGCCCAACCCTCAGTGTGACGGGCGGCCCGACTGCAGGGACGGCTCGGATGAGCGCCACTGCGGTGAGCTGCCCACCAGCACCTGCGCACGGACGGGGCCTCAGGGACCGTGGGGCGGCTGGGAGGGACTCCTGCCCTTGTGTCTCTTCCTCCGTCTGGTCTCACCGGCTCCCCACCCCCTCCAGACTGTGGCCTCCAGGGCCCCTCCAGCCGCATTGTGGGTGGGGCCGTGTCCTCCGAGGGTGAGTGGCCGTGGCAGGCCAGCCTCCAGGTTCGGGGTCGACACATCTGTGGGGGGGCCCTCATCGCTGACCGCTGGGTGGTCACAGCTGCGCACTGCTTCCAGGAAGACAGGTGAGGAGGCCACACGGGCTAGACCACAAGAGCTGTGGGGCGGGGAGGCCGAGTGGGAGCTGGATACAGAGGCTGTTGTGACCCTTGCGACCTGGCTCCGGCTCCACCAGGAACCCCTGGCTGCTGGGCACCTGGCTCAAGTCCCGTGCTTCCCTTTGGTGTCTTTAAGTTGGGTCTGTGAGTCATTCACTCACTTAGCAATGTTTGTTGTGCTCCTACTACGTGCCAGGGGCTGAGCTGGAGGCTGGGGATTGAGCAGAGGATGGGGCGGCCTGAGCCGGGCATCAGCCTTGACACCCCGCCACAATCTGAGCTGGGAAGGGGGTGGTAGGCAGGGCAGGAAGCCCCCCATCACTTTCCCTGGCGCCTCTGCCCTCTTTCCCGTCTGTGTGGCAGGTGCAACCCTCCACCCCAGGCCCGGGCTCTAGGCCCCGCAGGCCCCTCGAGCTGCAGAGACCTGCCCTCTTGTCCTCTGCTGGGCATGGAGGTACCTACCCTCTCTGGGTGCACTCTGACCACCAGGCTCCCTTGAGCCCCTCCCAGGCGCCTCGGTGCCCTCAGGGTGAAGGAAGGCTGTGGACCTACCCTTCAGGGGGCCTGGCACCGCCTCGCTGATTCCTCCGCACAGATCCACCCCTCCCCACAAGCAAGCCCAGTTCCCGCGGCCCCTCTGCAAAGTGGGCACACACAAAAAAGGAAATATTGTCCAGTGCTTGGCTAATACTTCACCTGCATTCTCCTGGGGACATGAGAGTGGAAAAAGCCATTCCCATCTCACAGATGAGGGCGTGAGGCCTGGACAGGCGCACTTGTCCAGGGAGGGAGGAGGCTGGGGCTGGAGCCCAGGCCAGGGCAGCGCAGGCCAGCGCTCAGCTCCGACCACCACCGACCAGGCTGGGAGGGCAGGTGTGGGCCAGTCCCAGGTGGGAAGCTGCTGTCTCAGGGCTCTCTGATGCGAGGCAGCGCTGAGCCACACCTTCCCCACCCGCCCCGAAGCATGGCCTCCCCGGCGCTGTGGACCGTGTTTCTGGGCAAGGTGCGGCAGAACTCGCGCTGGCCAGGCGAGGTGTCCTTCAAGGTGAGCCGCCTGGTCCTGCATCCGTACCACGAGGAGGACAGCCACGACTACGACGTGGCCCTGCTGCAGCTCGACCACCCGGTCGTGCGCTCGACCACCGTGCGCCCCGTCTGCCTGCCCGCGCGCTCCCACTTCTTCGAGCCCGGCCTGCACTGCTGGATCACCGGCTGGGGCGCCCTGCGCGAGGGGGGTGAGCAGGGACCCGCGGTGGGCGGGGCACGGGGTGAGGGTAGGTCTCCCGCCCCATTGGGGCCTGAAGGAGGGCGGATCAGGTGCCCCAGGGCCCCGCCCCCAGGCCTCCAGGTCTGGGGTTCAGTCAGGCTGGATTTTCATCATTTAATATGACCGGGCCTCTCCCTTCCCTTTGAAAAGGCTTTTAAGGAAAAGTAGGTCATGGGCGTCTGTGTGGGCGAAGGAGCAGGCCAGGACGCCACCCCTCCTGGCAAATCCTGGAGGCAGGGCATGTCGGGGAGGTTTTTAGTGTTTAGCATTTCCCACGTGTAGACTGAATTTGGGGGACGTGATTTCATATAGTCCACCCCATTCAGGGGAGGGTGCAATGGCTCCATTTAAGGAATGAGGAAACTGAGGCCGAGTCACTTAGCTCGAAATCACCTGGCCAGAGGGGGTTGCAGACTAGAACCCAGGACTGCCCGCCTCCAGGGCCCTGGTTCTTCGTGCCGCTCTCGGAAATGGGCTTCTCCCTTCCCGACCTCAGTGAGGGGAGCTGGCCCTCTCTGGAGCCCCTCGGTTTTGTGCACAGAGGATCAGCGGGCATAGCCACAGCCTTGCCCTCATTTGGTGGTGCTGGCTGCAAAATGTCTACAATGATTGACGGCATGGAGGCAGGAGGGAGGGAGGGTGCCCCCGCCCCCGAGGTGCTGGGGATGGAACCCAGGACCTCACACACTCTAGGCAAGAGTTCTACCACGAAGCCACATCCCCGGGCCCCTAGAAATATTTTAAAGATGAGGAAACTGAGGCTCAGGTGAAAAGTCACATGTCCTAGCTGCTCACAGAACAGTGGCAAAGTTAGGCTTGGTTCACTGATTTGTTCAAGCAACGACATAGATGGGCACCTACTACACACCAGGCATCAAGCTGGGCACAGGGATCGAAACTGAAAGCACGTTCTTGGAGGAGGGGTGGTGTGGCTGACATGGACGTGGAAGCGCAGGGTGGGAGGGCTGGGGCCTGGAGGAGTGGTCAGCAGCGTCCAGGGGAACTGGAGGTGTTCTCAGTGAAGGCGCAGGTGTCAAGCTGGAAGACTGTGGGACAGACCAGCAACCAGCCAGGGGGACGGGGTGGGGGGCAGGCAGTGTAACCGGGCAAGGACTGTGGGGGGACAGCGGGGGTTTACAGGCCACTGTGGGAATCTTGGGCCACTGGCTCGTCAAATGCATTTCACAACCACCTGGGGGCATCAAAACCCCAACACTTGGGCCCTGCCCTAGACGAATGAGACCAAGTGGCTGAGGACTCCAGTGCTGGTCAGGGATCCCAGGAGATCAGGACAGCCCTCCCGGAGAGGTTCTGGGCTGGGAAGGGCTCGCCTGGGTGGGTGCTTAGAAGCCCCACCAGGGGGCGCAACAGAGCAGGGCCAGGAGGCACTTGATGTGGGTGGCGGGGAGGGGAAGCTGGGGAAGACACTAGTCCAGACAGGCCTGGGGGCTTAGCCCCGCAGAGGAGCCAGGACGAGGGGATGGGAGAGCAGCTGGGTGCCAGGAGATGGCGGAAGGTGAATGGGGCTTCTGGGCACTCACATCTCTCCCCCGCCCTTGGCCCCTTGGCAGGCCCCACCAGCAACGTCCTGCAGAAGGTGGACGTGCAGCTGGTCCCGCAGGACCTGTGCGGCGAGGCCTACCACTACCAGGTGACACCCCGCATGCTGTGCGCCGGCTACCGCAAAGGCCAGAAGGACGCCTGCCAGGTGACTCCCGGCCCGTGGGCCAGAGGCAGGAGGGTAATGCTCATGTCACCCGCCATTTGCCACCTGCCACCCAGGTCATGGCCCTTCACGCACATCAGCCTGCTGGGGCCTCAGAGCCTCCCAGCAAAGATGGCTGTCCCCACCTCATAGAGGAGGAGACCAAGGCCCAGGAGGCTGCCCCTGCCCGCCACAAGGCTGGGGCCCGGGTGGTACAGTGGACACTAGGAGGCTGGGAGGGTGGGTGAGGGATGAGGACTCAGCCACATTCCCACGACAGGCAGGACCCCACGGAGGCCAGGCAGGGCCGGGCTGTCCCCAACAGTTTCCAAAGGAATGTGACTTCCTGTCACCTGGCAAACCCTTACCCTGATGCGCCTGCCTCCTCTCTCCCCCTCAGGGTGACTCTGGTGGACCCCTGGTTTGCAAGGAGCTCAGTGGCCGCTGGTTCCTGGCAGGACTGGTCAGCTGGGGCCTGGGCTGTGGCCGGCCCAACTACTTCGGCGTCTACACTCGGATCACAGGAGTGATCGGCTGGATCCAGCAGGCACTGGCCTGAGGGGCTGCTGTGAGCCCAGTGGGGGCCATCTCCTGCCTAGGACAGAGCCCAGGGCGCCCCTGGACAAGGCGACGAGTATTCTGGGGGCAAAGAGATGGCATCCTGCCCCCCCGCCTGCTCCCTGCCGTTTGCACCAGTGAGAGGCACAAGGGGGCAGGAGGCCACCAGCAGGAGCCAGGACTTCCCGAGGGCCCAGGCCCTTCACCTTGATCAGTGTCCTCTCCTCACTGTGGACTTGGTGGGGAGGGGCTCAGCAGCCAAGATGCTGGCTCCTGGGTCCCTGGTAGGAGTATGAGACCCCACCCCACCCCAGGCAGAGGCCACCTGGGTGACACTGGTTCCACAGGGCAGATTCAGCTGAGAAGCTTCTGATGTCCCTTGGGGGTGAGGGTAGAAAGTGCCTGGTTGGAGGGGACCCTCAGAGACTGGGAGACGGCCAAGTGGGACAGCAGCCACCAGAAGCCAAAGGGTGGGGCAGACCCAGCTGCAGGGCCCTGAGCCACCTGCCTGCCACTGGGGCTTCCCAGCCAGACCCCCCCCCGCAAATAAAGCCCCGACTGGCCTCGGCCCACTGTCGGAGTCCTGCTTCCTGCTCAGCCTGCTTGCCAGGTGTCCAGAGGGCCACCAGGGGACAGTGGAGGCCACCTGCCCAAGCCCTGTGAGAAACCCCAGGGAAGCCAAGTTTAAAGACCCTCAGGCCGGAATCGGAGACCGGATAAGGACAGAAGGGCTCCTTCCGGAACCTGAGGGGAAAACCAAAAGGCTGAGTGGGGGGAGGACGTGCCCACTACGGGGCTGAGCAGAGCCTGGAGCCTGGCCTCCGCCTGCCCCTCCCTGCGGCCTTGAGGGCGCCTGTCACGGGCTCCTCCTGCGACCACAGATCCCCTCACAGTGGGGCGCAGTGTGGCGGGGAAGCTGGGACTCTGGAGGCCAGGCAGCCGGCCTGAGGGTGTGAGGAGCGGGGCTCTGGGCTCCGAGTGGCCAGGGCAGGGCTGGGCCTCCCAGGTCAGGGAGGAGCACCAGGCAGGGCCAGTGCGCAGGGAAGAGAAGCTGTGGGCCAGCTGGGCTGAGGGGAGCCCGAAGGGGTCAGAAGCGAAGGGCTGGCCCAGGAAGCTCTGACGGAGCCTGACCTGGCCCCTCAGGACCGGTCAGCAGAGCAGCGGGAGGCGTGGAGGCTCCAGGGCAGGAGACACCATAAGGCAGAACCGCCAGAGGAGCCCAGGGTGGAAAGCAGGGGCCTGGATGGGAGGGCAGTGGGGATGGGTGCGGGTCACCGGTGTGCCCTGGGGCAGTGGTCAGGAGCCCAGAGGCCGGCTGGGGCCGTGTCAGCACAGAGAACTCTCTGGAAGCTTGGAACTAGAAGGGGAAGTGAGGGGGGGGTGTCCATGGTGGGCGAGGCCACGGGAAGGGGTTGTCGTGCGGAGCCGCTGCTGGGTGGGTGTGCAGGGGCCAAGCCTCTCTGGTCTGGGGTGAACGGGACAGCAGAAGGCCAGTTCCTGGTGGGCCACTGTCTCAGTCCAAAGCCCAGTGCGAGGAGGACCTGATGCTCTTTGAAAAGCCCCCACGTGACTCTCAAAAACTGGACACAAAAAGGGAGCTCACCTTCAGAAGTGTGTGTCCCCGGGGGACGTGGTGACATCCTCCAGCCTGTGGAGCCCTGGCCTGGCCTGGCCTCTGCCTGGGGGTCACGCTCTACAAGGGGCGGGACTTGGCAGGATGAGGGAGTGGAAGGAGCTGGCTGGGCAGGAGAGGAGCCGAGGGCCAGAGCCTGGGGGGGGGGCAGCAGGCCCGGTGTCCACGTTTCCCAGGGCCTCGGGGTCAGGGCTGGTGGCAACAAGGAGGGGCCCAAAGGTGGCAGGCCAGGGGAGTCAGGGGCAGAGGGCCTGCCTGGGGGCCTGTGTGCTCGTGGGGCATGGGAGGTGTCGAGGGCCCTGGGCAGAGGACCTCGCCTTCCCCCACCGTCCTCCCCCACACAGTGAGTGACAGAGGGGTGGGCCTGGCCTTTCGGGAAAGCCTCTTCCTCTCAGCTGGTCCACAGCTCCCGAGTTCAGCCCCATCCCCAGAAGCGGCCCAGAGGGAAAGGGAGCCACAGGCCGGCTGTTTCTTCAGGTTTTATTCCACGGCGGCGGCGGGCGTAGCTGAGGCCAGTGCCCATCCCAGGCAGTCACAGTGCGGAGGGGCCCCTCGCTCTGCCCCATCTCACCCAGACCCTGCCGTGCGCAGAGGGAGGAACGTCCCCCTTCCCTTCTCCCTGCGTAGCCACTTGGGCCCCATGCAGGCCAGGGCCCTGCAGCAGCACACGGTGGGCGCGACACGGCCCAGGCGAAGGCCAAGCTGCCTGTCCCCTCCTTCTGACAGGGCCAACCCTGCACCCGTCACCCTCACTTCCTGAGTCTCCCTGGTGCAGGTCATGCTTGGGGCTGGCCAGGCCCTCCCAGCCCAGGGGGGTGGGGGAGAGAAGCCCTGGCTCTTAGGGCCCCCGGGGACCTTGTCCTCTCTGCACCCCACAACCACCCTGTGTGGGAGGTTCCCCACTGGACCCCAGGAGGCCGCGGCTCAAGGAGGTGACGTGATGGAGCCAGGAGGGAGCACAGTCACCGTGCCACAGGGGCCCCTGGAGGAGGAGGGGACAGAGGGTGCTGGGAGACACAGCTGGGCAGCGCCACACCGAGGCCATGGGCAGGTGGCTCTACCCAGGGGTCCCAGGACCCACCTCAGGCCTTGGGAGGTCCCAGTGGGTCCCTGCCTGGGCCCTGGAGGCAGAGGCAAGTCACAGCCCCGGAGGTGCAGGCAGAAGTGGCAGGGGACAGAGTGCGTCTTCCTTCCCGGGCCCGGGGCCCACCCCATGGTACAAAAATAAAGGATTTCAGATGGGAACCCCAAGTCCCTGCAGGTGATCTGGGGCCTCACATCCGGGTGTCTCTGGCTTGTAATAGCTAGAAAATAAGAGGGGGAAGGGCAGGAGGATAGGAGGTGGGGGCAAAAACCAGGGTGGGGTGGGGGTGCGAGGAGGGGTGCGCAGACAGGGAGAGGGCGAGAGGGAGGCGGGGGTGGGGAAGGGGGGAGAGAGAGAGGCCAGTGAGTGGCGGCTGCTTCTGGAAGAGAGGAGGCCAAGGCCCAGAGTGAGTCAGAACCCAGGAGGAAGCAGGGAGGGCGGAGCCGGGCCAGGTGGGGCTGCGTGGTGGCTGCTGGGGGGCCAGGCTGAGGGCGGGGACGGGGCGGGGCTGGGAGGCACAGGTCACTGCTGTCCCAGGTGAAAGGAGTAGGAGGGAGCGACCGCCTGTCCCCATTTTATAAGCCCAGAGAGGGACAGCAACTTGCCCAAGGTCACAAGCACACAGATGAGACTATGTGGGGACGTGCGGCCCATGACCAGGGTGTGGCTGCCAGGCTCTGCTGCTTCTGCTGGCTCCTCATTGGCCAAGTACCGCATACGGCCTGGCTTCTGTCCCCACCCCAGAAACAGGACACTGTGCTACACAGTGACGCTGGAGCTCCTGGCCATGTGGGGACGAGGCCAAGGCCTGTGGCTTCAGCTGTCCTTCCCTCCCCAGCCTGGCCTGGTGCTGCCCACAGGAGGGTGGGCGGCCCCGCACCCTAACCTCCTCCTGCTCCCAGAGCCTCACCCAAGGCTGGGGCAGGCTGGGAAGCTGGTGGCTGGGGAAGGTCAGCAGAAAGCTCGGCTCAAGTCCAAGGACAGGACAGGAGGCCCTCCTTGCTTCCACCCCTCCCTCCAGCTCCGCCAAGCTACAAACCAGGGATGGCAGCTCTGGGGGCGGGCGAGGGGCCAAGGAGAAGCCCTCACTGCCAGCTCAGCCTCGGGTCTGAGGGGGCGCAGACGGGAACCTGCAAGGAGGAAACGTGAGGGGCGAGGAAGCGGCAGGGCAGGGCCGGGCAGGGCCGGGCCTGCGCCAGCCTCAGAGGTGCCCAGTGGGGCCGGCCGGCACAGAGGCAGCCACACTGCGCCCCTCCTCCCCAGGCTGGGGGGCAGGAGGTGCCAGGAGGGGCGAGGGGGACGGCAGGCAGGACGCTCTGGGACGCAGGGCCAGGGGACCCGGGGGGAGGGCACGGGAGGCCGGGGCCACATCGGCCCCAGGGTGGAGGCGTGAGCAGGCAGAGAGGAGACCCGCGCAGGGGCAGAGGGGGAGGAGGCAGGGAGCAGATGAGATCCAGGAGGAGGAGGAGGTGGATGGAGATGAGGCAGGACCTCCAGTGGGAAGCAGAGGAGGAGGCGGCGGTGAGAGGGAGGGAAGGTGAGCGGGATCCTGAGGTGACTGGGCTGCAGAGAGAGCGAGAGAAGGGCGTCACGGCCAGGCCAGCAGCTGAGCTAACCCTGCGCCCGGCCGCCCGGCAGCGGCTGGAGGGAGGGCGGAGGCTCCCAGGTCTGGTTAGCGGCCATCCTCCTGGGGGCGGGCTGCACCTTTCTCCTGTGTATCTGCCTCCACCTGCACCTGGGCCACCTGCACCTCCTCCACCTCCTCCTCCTGCTGCCGCTGCTCCTCCAGCTGCTCCTCCGCGCTCTGTGAACCAGCCGGTGACCCAGGGAAGAAAGAGCGTACACACTAACGAGGGGGCCAGGCGGGCTGCAGCTGTCCCCGTGGACCCCTACCTCGGGCGGAGGGTGGGCAGAGTGAGGGGCACCTCAGGAGAGAGGGCTGCAGCCACAGAGGCTGCGCCATCGTCTCCGGTCCCCCGGGAAGCGTGGGGTCGGCCTGGCTGCTGGCTCCGAGTGCAGCTGGGACGCGGGCGGTGGGGACCCGTGGGTGGGAGCGGGGTGTCTGCAGGGTGCCTGGAAAAGCCTTGCTGAGGAGGGGACCAGAGTAGGAGGCCTGGGAGGCCCCTGGGCAGCACCGACCGGATCAGGGAGGCCAGCAACTACAGGTGGCATCCCAGGCCCGGGGCGCCAGCCTGTGGGTGGGTGAGGTGGGCAGAGGAGTCACAGCAGGACAGGACGGCAGACAGACAGACAAGAAGCCAGAGCTCAGTCTCCACTGCACAGGACAGGTCCCAGAAGGAACGCTCCCTCCTTCCCGGCCTGGCTTGTGTCGGCTCCGCCAGCCGCACCAGGGCCCGTGGGAATTCCCACCAGCTTGGCTCCGGGCACGGGACCCCCACTCCAGCCCTCCCCACACAGCACCAGGCTGCCAGGTGCGCCTGCGGAAGGCCACCTCCTGCCAAGGGTGGAGCAGGGCTGGTGCCTGTGGGGCTCCCAGAGCCCCTGATGCAGAGCGCCCAGCAGGAGGCCTTGGTGAGGGCAGGGCTGTTGGACTTGGCTCCCCTGTCCTGGCCTAGGCTGGCTGGACATCAGCCCTGGGCAATAAGCTGGCCATCTGGGTTCCTAGGAGTTCCAAGCATGAGGCAGCGAGAGCAAGTGGCCTGTCCTCACCTCACAGAGAACACAGCAAAGGTGCTGAGAGGGGACGGCACTTCTCCAAGGTTGCATGCCCTGAGCCCTTGGTTCAACTCTGCCTCACGCCCCAACACCTGTGGCATCGTGTGTCCCTGGCTGTGCCCTTGGGCGGTCCCTTTGCACTACTCCCAGCCTGGGCCTGGGTAACGGGTGTGAGCAGACATG